GTATGGGGCTATTTACTAAAAAAAAAAAAAAAATTGAGCCTCACCTCCAGCAACCATTAACCGCCAACAGCTCTGAAGGTAGGGGCGAGAACTCACGCACCCTCCTCCCATACATGACGTCGGCAGCTCAGGCTTGTGCAGGTCTTGACAAGTAACCACAGCGTCTATGAGTTAAGGAGTGCAGTGGCCACACCATGTCCAGAAGACAGTGTTTTCTAGCGCTCTTCCCAGCCTCTAACTCTTATGTTCTTTCTGTTCCCTCCTCCTCTGCAATGTCCCTTGAGCCTTAAGGGAGGGAGGTGATATTGATGTCCCATATAGGGCCCGGCAATCAATCATCATGGATTCTCAGCAATTTGACTTGTTATGAGTACCTGCTCACACTATTGCCCAGTACAATCTAATCTATAGATATGAACATGCAGATGTAGATGGCAGTTGGACAACATGCCATTTTGTAAACAATAATAGAATAGTAGATTTCCACCTGGGCCCTGGGCCCTTCCTGGACATGACCCTTAGACCAGGTTTACAGGACCAGTCATAAGTTCCCTAAAAATCTAACAAGAAAATGGCTGGTTATTCTCAATAGCACCACTATTGTCCATGCGGGCACAGCTTACCTTCCAGGTCAACCATAGCATGCAGGGTCCACCAATGGGTAAGGCTGCTGATGGTTTTTCTTTCTCAACAGTGTGCACAGCACCTGTGAAAACTACCCAGCAGGGAGGGAGCTTCCAGCTCAGTTATAGCTTGGTTATGTTCTGCAACCAAGTATATGATGTCTTTAGCAACAGGATTTTACCATCTAGCTCTGGTGGGCGATCAAGAGCAATGGCATTGGCCTGGATTGTCTTAGGAGCCTCTGAGGCCTCTCTGACAATACAGAGGGGTGTACCACACATGGCATGAGGATTTTTATTTAATAAGCTATGATCCTACTTCTAAGAGTAGCATTATCCACCTATTAGTATACCTCTGTCTAGACTCAGTTTTGATTATATTTTAAATTTAACTGACAAAGCAATGGAGGTTTCCATAAGTTTTTTTCACACACCCCAAATTTCTGTTAATGTTTTTCCCAACTCCCACCCATCCCCCATCCCTGCCTAAACCTTACCATTCCCGGTACCCCTCTTCTCCTCCTCCACACATGCTCTATTATCCTCTCCCCTGTTAAGCCCCCTTCTCCTCTCATGGGCCTTTTAGACTTCCCAGCCTCTACAGACATTTCAAATTAAACATACAAAACCTACAGATTCAAAACCAGGATCCAAGGACAAGAGAATGTGGTTTCCTCACTTTATGTAAATTCTGTCAAGCTACTTACAACAATGGCCACAGCTGGGAGAGAGTATGAGTTCAGAGTTCTCGGCTCCAGGCCAGGCACCAAGAATGAATGGTAGAAAGTCTTTTAACATGACATGTCTGTTGAGTTTTCCTTTCCATGGGAGTGAGTTCATCTGTAGCAGGGTACGTCTAACATCCACACAGTTTCAAGATCACATCACTGAAGGAGTCAGGTTAAGGGGGTTGACTCTATATTGGAAAAATAATGACGTCATTCTTATTGTGGGCCCAGTACAATTATAAGAGCTTTCCAAAGCATCAGTGATGTAATAACTACAGTTAAAGCATAGCTCGAACATGTAGTAGTACTTCCCACACTGTAAGGTATAAATGAATGAGCATTGCTGTTAAAATGATAAAAGTGTGATTCAAGTCCAATCTGTGAAAATGACTTAAAAACCAAAATAGAATAAAATAATATTCATAGTTGAAAATAACACAAATGCAATTGGTTATTTTATTTAAACCACCGAGTACATTTATTTGATTGAAAGAAAGGTTGCAATCTTTATTTGGTTTGAGAAACTACACTAGGCTCTCATTACAAATGACTTAGCCGCCACTGTCGTACACTTGAGTGCTCTCCCATCTATGAAACGACAGAGAAGAAAACTGCTAAAAGGCAGGCACGCTATCAGGTCGCATCTCAGTCTAACCGGCACCACTGGTGTTGCTAGGGCACAATTCGTAGAGGGACAGGCTGGCAGCCGTCCTACATTCCTGGTAAGCAGTGGCACTTCTAACTATCAGAGAGACAAGTTTCAGGACCACACTGGGCACGTGGCTGCCTGTAAGCTTTGGACGAAAGGTACTATAGTAAGTGACAGCTTGACTGGGAAGCTAGTAGCAGGCTTCAGTTCCCTAACTGTGGTAACAGTCCAGGTTTGGAGCGAAGGAGCTGAAAATTCATGGGACTTTGGCCAGCCCCATAAGGTCTGTCTAAGAGGGCCCTTTGTTACTTCCACACACACCACCACCCTAAATTCTCTCTCTCCTTCCCCACCTTCATTCCTTACTCTGACCTCACCATGACCTCACTTGACCTCACTATGACCTTGTCTCATACCACTTCTAGAAAGTCGTCCCTGAGCCAACACCTTTGGTTCCTCTGAATGTCCGGTCTACACTGAGGGTTGAGTTAATGTTCTGCATCTGTGCGGCTTGAAGCTGTGCTATGAATCTCTAGCAGGTTTCCTTTGTTCAGACTCTTCTATTACATCACACTATTGGTCCCCAGTTCCCTTTGGTAAACTGTAAGCTACTGAAGAACAGGAACTATGTTTAATTCGGTTTTTGCATCTCTGGACTCTTGCGGGACAGAGACAACATATGTAAGAAGTGGTTCACTGAATGAACCAGTGGGTAGATGGCAGCCATGTTATCTAAATAGTTCCAACTACAGTATCTCCTGCATGCGTTACAGTTTGGTTAGAAGTGAAGCAACGGTGATGGTGGTGCCTACCTGTAATCCCAGGGTCACAGAGACAGGGACTAGAGAACCAGACGTTTGAGGCCAGTGCTGAGTTCATAGAGCATTGAAGGCCAGCACGGACTATAAGGAACCCTACGTTACCACCACCACCCCATAAAAAAGCTGTGGGTATACCTGTAATACTAATACTTGGGAGGCTGAAGCAGGAGGACCACTACAAGTCTGAAGCCAGCCTGGGCTACATAGTGTGTTTTAGGGCAGCCTGATCTTCAATGTGAGACCCCAACAAAACAAAATAAAAACAATCTCAGGCAAACAAACAAATAAAAACAACCCATATACCAAGAAATAATTAGGCCAGGTTGGAGATATGGATTGGTAGTTAAGGGTCCTAGTTACTCTTACAGAAGACCTAGGTTCAATTCCCAGCACCCACATGGTGGCTCACAACCATCTGTAGCTCCAGCCCCTGGGGATCCAGTTATCTTCTGACTTCCGTGGGTACAAGCAAGGCATTCATACACATAAAATAAAGCTGAAGGGGTTGGGGGCTATGGATGAAGGACTTTGTGTGCACTTGTGGCGCACACTTCTACTCAGTGGACATGTGCAGAGATCCAGAGCCTCATCCCAAGGATGACTACAGTTTAGATATTTAATAAACTTATGTAAGCATAAGAAGAAAGCAAGGCCTGGCAACCAAGAGAACATGGTTTACTAAGCTGAAAGAACATGAGATGAGGGTCAGAGTGAGGTCATGGTGAGGTCAGAGGTGTCAGACATAAATTGCTTGAGTCCTCAGGGCAGGAAAGCTAGGTGAGGTAACTATGTCTCACAGCCTGCTCTCAGCCTCGAGCTCTGGACCCAGAGATAGTCAGATCTTAGGACACTGGCACACATGCCAAGCTTACCAGAGCTGGAAAAAGCGAAGGCAGATGAATGGGCAGTGGAGGGTTAATTAGTTATGATTTAACACGGGTTCAGGAGGCATCGGCCACACGATGTGTGTGAGAGTCAGACTTGCGGGAGGGCCTTGTTTCCCAGCATTTCTGTCTCTACAGCAGTGCTTGGTAAATAGATGGTCTTCCAGGTGCAGACTTGTGCCATGGGTGCAGCTATTATGGGATTTCAGAAGGTTCAACGATGACACTCAGCCTGAGAGATCCAGGGAGCTCTATGTAAGAAGTGGCTCTCCAGCAATGCCCTCCAGGTGATGTCATGTTGTCGCTGTGATGCAGGGAAGGACGTTGTAGACTGAGGGAAGAGCCAGAGCTGGGAAGGGGAGTGGTCGATTTTTGCTGGACTACAAGCCATGTGGTACAGGAAAGCACAGTGTTATAAAGGAAAGCTAGAACTTGATTCTGGAAAAAAGCCAGTTACAAAGGTTAAATGTTATTGTTTACAGTTAGGGATCCCAAAAAGAAAAAAACATGATTAGAACTGTACTCTAAAAAATCGAATTTGGCTGCTTCCGGTTGCTTGGTTTGGAGAAGGGAATCCCAGATGCAGAGGCCTGTGGGAAGCTGTAGAATCTACATGCGGAAGAAAGGCAAGTGTGTACAAGTTAGGAAGTAGCATGGTTTTTCTTCACCTCCCCTCACCAAATATGGCCGGTAGCCTGCGCAATCTAAATAAAGTATAATGTAAAACCTGTTCTAATTTCTATGAAATTCTCCAGAGGACCAGGGCTGGAAAAATGACTCAGTTGGTGAATTGCTTGTTCTTCAAACATGAGGAGCTGAGTTCAAATCCTCAGCACTCACATAAAACAATCAGGCACAGCAGAGTGACCTGTAACCCCAACCCTGAAGAGGCAGAGACACTGTCTAAAAAATATGGTGGACAGAAATTGAAAAAAAAAACCAACACAAAGCATCAATCTCTGGCTTCCACACACATGTACACATACTTACACATGCATTGGAACACATATGTCCACACACATGGTTATGAACACACACACAGGAGAGAGAGAGAGAGATCATTGATTCATTTAGCCAATACGATTGAATATTAGTTGTCTACCTAAATATCAAACTGTTAAAAATAAGGATTTCAAAACTCTACCACAGTGTATGTACCTACAGAGACAGCTGAAAGGGGAAAAACCCTACAAATCTTCCAGAGGTAGATGCTCTTGTCTCCTAAAATGCCCGGACGATTTTTCCGCTAGACGTTCTCACAGACCGTTGCTAACGCTGGCTAACCCAATGAACAGGAATCCTGTCGAAAGCAGAAACAGGACCTGTGTGAGAAGTTCGATCACCTCTATGGCATCCTGGAAGAGAGGAAGACTGAAATGACCCAAGCCATCACCCGGACACAAGAGGAGAAACTGGAGCACGTCCGAGCGCTTATCAGAAAGTATTCTGATCACTTGGAGAACGTATCAAAGTTGGTGGAGTCGGGAATCCAGTTCATGGATGAGCCGGAAATGGCCGTGTTTCTGCAGGTAATGCTTTTTGGCACCAAGGACACAAACCCACATGGCGGGTGCTGAGAGCTAACTCTGACCATATTTTCAGTATTTTATTCACATGTCATTTAAAAATTTATGCTATTAACTAAAAGATCATCCATTCAGTGTTGTTTAAGTAGAGAGGGTGGCATTTGGAAGTCCAGCTAGAGGATTCTGAGTCACAAGTGGAGGGAATCTCACCAACTTCATGAAAACAAGCCAAGTAAGCTTATCTTTCTTGCTTTTGCAGAATGCCAAGACCCTGTTACAAAAGTGAGTATTTTCACATTTTTTCGTTTTTACCCAAGGCTGTCAGACATTAAACAGTGGCAGGAAATGACAAGTGTCTTTGCTGCAGGATCGCGGAAGCATCCAAGGCATTTCAGATGGAGAAAGTTGAACAGGGTTATGAGATCATGAGCCACTTCACAGTCAACCTCAATAGAGAAGAGAAAATTATACGTGAAATTGATTTTTACCGAGGTGTGTTATTTCTTTGACTCTGTTTCAAATTGCATTGTGGGAAAGCTTTTGGGTGAGAGGAATGGTGTGTGTGTGTGTGTGTGTGTGTATGTGTGTGTGTGTGTGTGTGTGTGTGTGTGTGTGTGTGTGTGT